CTTTGTTAGATAATGGTATTTAGAAACCAAGATCTGGCTGCCAGGTGTGCTTATTGCTGTTTAGGTGTACTGCTTCTAGTCTCTCTCAGCAGATGGAGCTAGGAAATGTATGTATATACACTATCCCATACATACACACAAATCAGTATTTATTTTTGTCTGTCCATCTGTCCATCCGTCCATCCATCCATCCATCCATCCATCCATCCATCCATCCATCCATCCGTACTGTCTAATTTTTGAAGACCTTGAGTTCATACTGGTGGCCTCCAATTCCTTCAAACTTCCATTGGAAATTTTGGTTCAATAACCAAAGCCTCAGGATTCACTTTAGCCTTCTCACTTTCTTTTCTTTTCTTTTTTTTTTTCAGACGAGTCTTGCTCTGTCGCCCAGGCTGGAGTGCAGTGGCACAATCTCAGCTCACTGTAACCTCCACCTCCCGGGTTCAAGCAATTCTCTGCCTCAGCATCCTGAGTGGCTGGGATTACAGGTGCCCTCTACCACGCCTGGCTATTTTTTTTTTTTTGTATTTTTAGTAGAAATGGGTTTTCAGCATCTTGGCCAGGCTGGTCTTGAACGCCTAACCTCATGATCCACTCACCTCAGCCTCCCAAAGTGCTGGGATTACAGGCGTGAGCCACCGCACCTGGCCTAGCCTTCCAACTTTCTTTAGTTGCAACTTCTCTCTCTGACAGAAATCTTACAGTATATTTACATATTTGTTCCACCCTAGTGCACCCAGAAGATAGTTTCAGAATTGATGACCCATACTCTTGGGAGAAACAAATATAACTAGTATACAGTACTGTAGTTTGTTTTTTTTTTCTTTAGCTTTATGGAATCTAGTCAACATACTGTTTTCCTGAGTTACTTAGGCTGGTTGTTTTCTTCCCCATCCCCTTCAGTGTGGTGGTGTTATTTACTAGTAATACGGTTATGTTTACTTGTTATTGTTAATGTTTCATTTTGAGTTTTTCCCACATGTGATTGATTTTAAGTGTTTATTTTTGGGGTGTGTGAAATACTACCATGGTTCTAAGATATACAGTGCTCTGAGTATATTTACACAAGTATATGTTGAGTCAGATGGATATACTCGGAGAAATGTGCAACCTTCTCATCCTGTTATCTTGTCTGATATCAGTTGCCCATGGTTTTTCACTCCTTTCCCACTCACCCCCTATAGATAACCAATGTCGTTAGTTTCTGGTTTATCCTCCTGTATTTCTTTTGCACAGATAGGTCAGTACATGTATATTTTCTTATACCCCTGCTTTTCTCATGTGGAGGGCAGTGAAGTACTGTTATGGGATCTCTGGGGTATCACTTTGCCAGCTGGAAATTTCTGTAGCCAGTGGCACCTTTGCCCAAGTTTTGCTCTGGCCTTCTGGGCTCCTCTGCCCACTTGACCTGGCAGGCTGTGCTTGGCTCCCACTACAGGCCTAGATCCCATACCTGACAAGGGCAAGCCAGTTGCACAGCAGTGAGGGTTGTGTGAGTGAGTGTGGAGTTCAGCCACTGCACAGCCAGGTATGTCGGCTGTGGTGGGGCAGGCAGCTCCAGACACCAGCATGGGTGCTAGCTCCCCGCAAGGCTGCGGTTGGACCAGGCATACCATAAGCAGCTTCCATGGCTGACATTGGGGAACGCAGTGTGATGCCTGGAAGCTTGGAGACTCCAGGAACCACAGAGCCCTAAAAAGGGTATCACAACCCTGGCTTGGGGGTGCTCCTAGGTCTGGGGTCCCCGAAGGGCCACAACTCTTCTTTCTTCTCTTGTCTCCTACAACATAGTGGGCAAACAGCATGTTTCATCCCTGTTTGTGGTATTGCTCTTTTAGCCCTGCCATTCAGTGAGTCCCTAGTTCTTGTCGTGCATCCAGGAAGAATGAGGTACGCAGACAAGTGGAGGGTGAGCAAGACAAAGAGGAACTTCATTGAGCAATAGAACAGCTCAGAGGAGACTCACAGTGGGCAGCTCCTCTCTGTAGCCAGGGTGTCTTGATGAGTGATCAGCTCTCAGCAGAGAGGGTAACTCCTCTCTGCAGTTTGTCCTGTTGTCTCCTCAAGTCTGACTGAGTCCAGGGCTTTTATGGGCCTCAGAGGGGAGGAAGTGCATGCATGCTGACTAATCCATGGGTGGGCCTGGAAAAGTTCCCACTCCAGTCTGTGGGACCCACAGCCTGGCCCTCAGGCCTCGGGCCTTCCCTGGCTTGAAGATTGGGCTTCACCAGGGACCTGCCCTCTCTGCCTAGGAGCATGTCTGCCTCCTGCTGTCTTTCATGGTGCCCAGGTTTGTGCCAAGGGGCACCTGCAGGGCAGTGCCAAGCTGTCTTCAGCACCGCCTTGGTCTCCCTCCCATGTTTGTCTTCACCCAAAGTCCAGAGGCAGCTGAGGTGGCGGGGCGCTGGTGTGTCAGCACTGCCCTGAGCGTGCACACATTCAGCTGGGTTGCAACAGTGCCCAGGCTCGGCCTCAACTTTGCTCCATGATCTCAGTGGGTGCTGACAGCAGGGAGAGGCCAGGGAGCTGGAGCAGACACCTCTGAGACTGTGGGAGTAAAGGGGGGCCCTTCCTGGGCCCCCGAGAATACAGAGATGTCTGCGTCTGCAGCTGCAGTTTGGGTGACTGCAGCCATGCCCAGAAGGTTGGGACTCCTGCCTGCTCCACGCTCCTGCTGACACCATAGAGTGTGGTACTGCCCTGGGCCCAGCTCTGCCTCCGTGCCCCTCTGTGCCTGCCTCTCCATGATCAGTTTCTAAATTCTGTGAATTTAGTGATGATGATGATGATGACGATGATGATAAATAGCATAAGCGTTACCATTGAGCATCTACTGTATATACCATGCTCTATAATGTCTTGTATGATTATCTCAATCCTTACTGGAGCCCGAGGAAGTAGATGTTACCTCCAATTTACTGATAAGTGTTATGGATGCAACTGGTTGGGGCTGGTGTCGTGGGTGGTAAAAGAATACCAAGACAGTCATAGGTAAAGAAGGGCAGATTTGTCAGCAAAAGTACAAAAATATGTTGCATGGGTGCAACAGGCAGCACGGCAGCGAATGGGCCGTCTGCAAAGCGTCAGGGGCTGGAGGAAAGTTTTATAGGGTCATGCTGGAGGGGCCTACTTATGGAATGAGGTATTTAATGAAAGGATGTTGGGCCAGTGGGTTTGTGATTAGCCATTTCTTGGAACAATTGTTCTTCCCAACTTGGGCCCGCTTACTTGTTGCTTACTTATCAAGATGCCACACTAAGGAAACAGAAGTCCAGCAAAATTTAGAAACTTGCCCATCATAAAAAATAGAGTTGGAACTTGAACCCAGGACTGTCCTGAGTTTATGCTTTGAGAAGAGTACACCAGTACCATAACAGAAGTTCCAAGGTGAAACAAAGCCACCTGGGTTTTTAAAACCCGGAACATTTCAGGCCTTAAAACCCTGATGGTTGTGAGTTGACTTTTACCAAAGTCAGCATGTTACAGACAGCAAGAACGTGGAGGTAATTTATTGCTTGTTTGTTTCAAAGAAATGGCCCTTCCTTCTTGGAGGACCGTGGGTCCTGCCTCTAAGACAGGAGACAAGAGGGATGCTACATAGGGCCTGCTACCTGGGATGTAGCAATAGATCTCATCTCACATCCCCTAATCGCAAGCCAGAGCACCAGAACCATTAATGGGAGAGTACATTACCCCACAGGGCTGTTTGATTTAGCAGGACACTCAATCAAGCCCAAGTTACAGCAGTTTCTGCTAAAACTGTTTGTACAGCATGAGTGGAAGAAGAATGTATTTGGAGCAGGAGTCTGGCTTCTGTTGTGAAAAGTGACAGCCTCTGGCAGAGAGAGAGGCAATGCTGTCGAGTTGGTTGAGGTCAGGGCTTCTGGCATCTGTGTGCCGGCCCTCACCCGGTGCTTGATTTTCCAACTGTGTGACCTTGGGCAAGTCACTTGATTTCTCAAAGTGCATTTATGAAGTGGTGATAAGAACCATACTCATTTGTTTGGGGCTCCCAAGACCACCCCAGGTTCAGCGATTTGCCAGGAGAATTCGCAGAACTCAGTATATGATCATACTCATGGCTATGATTAATTACAGCAAAGGGATACAAAGCAAAATCAACACAGGTAAAAGACGAATGGAATAAAGTCCAGAGGAAATCAGGTTCAGGCTTCCAAGAGTCCTCTCCCAGTTGAGTCCAAAGGATGCGCTAATTCCCCTAGCAATGAGTTGTAATGTAACAACACATGTGGAATGTTATCGACCAGGGACACTCACTGGAGACTCAGTATCCGAATTTTTATTAGGGACTGATCACATAGGCACCCTTTGCTCAGCACGTACCAAAATTATAGCCTCCCAGAAGGAAGGAAAGCAGGGGTGTTCAGTGTAGGTTGTACTGTTTACATAAACAGTTTAGGCACAGTGAGCCACTCTTGTTTGTTAGGGTGGTGCAAAGTCTCTCAAAATCCAAGTTCCCAGACTCCAGCCAAGGAAGAGCCAACCTTGCAAGGAGGTCTTGGTAAGCATAGCAGTTTCAGTTCTGTTTTGTTACCTCTTTTCTGCCCATCATCCCATTGGGTGGTTGCTGGGTGAATTAAATGAGATGATCCATACAGAGCTCTCAGCACACTGCCTAGCATGGTGAATACTTATTAAATGTTGATGCTTCAGCACCTTCATCTACTCATCATCCATTTACTTACCTGTTCTTCGTTCGTGGCTTCGTTCAGTACATTTTGATTGGCACCTGCTGTGGTACAGGGGCTATGTTAGCCTCTTGGGTACTTTTGAAGCATTCCTCTCTAGATGATGCTGCTTGTGGGTGTTCAGTCTGGCTGGGTGTTTGAGGTGGGTGGTGGTAATGAGAAGAAAGCTTCAGGGACTTTAAGATAAGTCTTAAGTGGACTCATTTTCACATTCAGTGTTAGTAGGATGAGTATGCAGTCATCTGAGAACATCTCCTGATGTCTTGCTGTTTCTTTTTCTTCCTGCAGCCAAGGCTAAGTCAAAATGCGGCCCGACCTTCTTCCCCTGCGCCAGCGGCATCCACTGCATCATTGGTCGCTTCCGGTGCAATGGGTTTGAGGACTGTCCCGATGGCAGCGATGAAGAGAACTGCAGTAAGTGCTGTGCACTTGGACGCTGTGATCCCTTGTTCTTTCCCGCCAGCCAAACTTGTCCACGTCCGTCACCCTCATCATGTGCTTCTTATACCTAGAGGCTCAGGCATTCTCTTCTGTTACCCAGATTCTGTTCTTTCCCACTTCTTGTGTAAATCTGTAAATGCTCAGCCACCATTTATCAGGGGCTCTACCAAGTGCACTGAGCCTGAGACTTGCTGTATTTTCAGTTCTGACAATAGCTCTGCAAATGCAGATGTATTATCCTTAGTTAACAGATAAGAAATTTCAAGTTAGAGAAGTGCATTAGCTCATCCAGAGTCACATAGCTCATAAGAAGCAGAGCCATTTCTAGGTTCATTCAAACCCTCATCTGACTGATATCCTCAGTCAGACTTCATGTCATCTGACTTCATGTTTGTGTGCTTGCTTACTTTTTTTCTTACTTTGAATTCTTTTCTTAAAAAAGTTGGCCGGGGCCGGGCGCGGTGACTCACGCCTGTAATCCCAGCACTTTGGGAGGCTGAGGCAGGTGGATCACGAGGTCAAGAGATCAAGACCATCCTGGGCAACATGGTGAAACTCCATCTCTACTAAAAATACAAAAAATTAGCCAGGCGTGGTGGCGGGCGCCTGTAGTCCCAGCTACTCGAGAGGCTGAGGCAGGAGAATCACTTGAACCCGGGAGGCAGAGGTTGCAGTGAGCCGAGATTGTGCCACTGCACTCCAGCCTGGTGACAGAGGGAGACTCCGTCTCAAAAAAAAAAAAAAAAAAAGTTGGCCGGGTGTGGTGGCTTGCACCTGTAATCCCAGCACTTTGGGAGGCTGAGGTGGGAGGATTGCTTGAGTCCAGGAGTTCAAGACCAGCCTAGGCGACAAGATAAAACCCCATCTCTACAGTAAAAAATACAAAAGTTAGGTGGGCCTGGTGGCACATGCCTCAGCTACTCAGGAGGATGAGGTGAGATGATGCTTGAGCCTGGGAGGTCAAGGCTGCAGTGAACTGAGATGGCACCACTGCACTCCAGCCTGGGCAACAGAGTGAGACACTGTCTTAAAAAAAGAAAAAAAAGTGTTTCTACGTTAGGTGTATGCATACTATAAAAATTTATTCTTGAGAAAACAGTTCAAGTATCATAGATGAAATGAATGTCCTCCTTGACTGTGACCACCCTGATTTGTTTTACCTGCTGTATAATATTCCCCTGGTGTCAGTGTGCACACACACATATTCACTCCCTCTCACCTTGCAGCCAGCAGTCTTGCTGTTGGGTTTAACTACTCCTTGCCTTGGATACATGCAGATCCTTCCTTTTAGCATCCTGCTGTCCACAATGACTTTGCATACAGCAGCCTCAGTGACCTTCAAGCCTCTCTTCTTCACCTTTAATACTGGCCCAGCTCTCCCATCAAGTTGCTTCGTACCTGCCACTGGTCACTCTGGTCACTGTTTCTTCTTCTTTCCCCATTCGTCAAAATGTTTAGACTACTTGAGCCTTCGTAATTATCGTCAGCTCTGAACAAACTTACATGTTTATTTTCTGTGCATATATATGTGTGTGTGTGTGTGTGTGTGTGTATATATACACATATATATATATGACTTTATGTTTTAGAGCGGTTTGAGGTTCACAGCAAAACTGAGAGGAAGGTACAGAGATTTTCCAAATCCTCTGCCCCAACACATGCACAGCTTCTCCCATTGTCAACATCCCTGGCCAGGGTGATACAGTCATTACAATCAAACCTGTGTTAACACATCAAGTCCATAATTTACATTAGGGTTCGCTCTGGTATTGACCATTCTATGGATCTTGATAAGTATATCATGACATGTAGCCATCATATAGTATCATACAGAATAGTTTCACTGCCCTGAACATTTTCTGTGCTCATCCTACTCATCCCTTTTTGTATCCCCACCACATATTTTAATAAATATTTTTCTTCTGATTAAAGAACTTACAAAATATAAACAAGTATACAGAAGAAAGCAAAACTGCCCATATCCCATAAGTTAGAATGAGACACTATTAATATTTATGCCATTGTGTGCTAGTTCTTCCCTCCCGTCTGCTCCTCCTTGCCTCCCCTCTCTCTTTCTCTGTCTCCCACTCTTTGTCTTCTCTCTCCCTTTCTCTCCTCCTCCTTCTCTTCCCATCTGTCCCACTTTCCTCCCCACCTTTCTCTCACTCCTTCTCCCCTTCTCTACACACACACACATGTACACACACACACACAGCCCCCTTCTCTAAGCACATTGTACTTATTTGTAATGTCCTGTATATTGTGACCATTTTCACATTATCAGTTTTTTCCAAACATAAGTTTTAACGACTTCAGTGATTCTTTTGATAGATTATGTTCTTCTTCCTACTTCATTGGCTCGATTTTAAGTCTCTGATGAGGAGGATGACTGTCTCCTATGTCATGTATGCCTCTCTAGGGAGGAATCATGGCTGTCCCTTCCCAGTAGGGGCACAGGAAGTTTCTAACTGTCCCCTGCATTTTGTCCTGTTGCCTTATTTCATCTTCTGGGCTCCAAGTGTTAAGAATCTGGCACAGCCAGCAGATGATTGTGTGGTTACAGCAGATGAGAGTGATGGACATGCACCCCAGCAGGGAGGGTACATATCACTAAGAGGAGAGGCGCAACTGGGAGAAATGACTCGACCCAGACTCTGGGCTTGGATTTGTGCTGTACCCTAATGAAGCATGAGTCGGATATGCCAGATCATCTCTTGCATAGCGGTTTACTGGTCTGCACATTGAGGGTGCTGAGAGCCTGCTTCCCAGGATTGCTGGAGAATTAGATGAAATAACTGAAAAGACTCAGTATAGTGGCTGGCACAGACTAATTGATTTTTTAAAATAGTGGTTTAAAACAGAACTGTGAGAAAAGACCATAGTTACTAGGATTTTGCCTTTGATTTTGGACTTACAAAAATATACTTCTTTTGTATTTTGGTTAATCCTTTAGTAAGTGAGTATCACCTTAATCTCTGCTTCCTGTTGTCCATGGGGATCTTATAATCTAAGGGAGAAATGACACACACAGACACACACAAACACACACACCCACCCCAGAATAATCCAATGGCAATAAAATGCAAGTATGACACATTATAGTATAAGCAATCTAAATGATTATGTCATCCTATATATTCCCTGCCATAATTAAAGACCTTATATGATTTAAATGTTTGGACATTGGTCTTTAATTTTCTCTTTTTTAAATTTATTTTTGATTGTACTTTAAGTTCTAGGGTACATGTGCACAACGTGCAGGTTTGTTACATATGTATACATGTGCCATGTTGGTGTGCTGCACCCATT